TACAGGCAGGGATTGAATGCACTTCGTGAGCGGAGGAGATGAGAGATTATGGGCAATCGTGGACGCAGCTGAAGAGGATGGCACAGAATAGAACAAAGTGCAGATGTGTTGTTGAAGCCCTGTGTTCCACTCGGAACTCAGAGGAATGATAATAATATAGTAAAAATGTTCTACCAACAGAAGTCATCTGTTTTTTCTTTTATGTGATTTTATTCAGTCCAAATAATATCGATATCTGAATACTGATTTATTGCCTAAAAGGGAGTACTACCCGCTATATATCCAAAAGAATTGTGTCGAAGCTTTGTCATTGCGATAATCATCAGGAACAGTCGATTTTATCAAAGTTTATTATTCAATTTGCTTTTTAATAATAATAATAATTTGCTTTATTCCAAAACAGTACTTGTAATACAGAATGGAATTCTCAGCATTTTACTACAGTATTGCATCCAGTTTGTACATTAACAATAAATAAAATTCTACATAGATTATGGGTAGTCTCAGTTAATTTTGACAGCATATTAACATGTCGGTAGCAAAGCCAAAATTGAACAGAGTGTTTGAAGGTGTTAGAAAAGTAGACGCTAGCATATTTACTGGCGTAAGCGGTAACAAAGAGATCGAGATATACAGAGTGTGGAAGAACGAAGAAGAATGTTTTAAATAGAGTTTGTAAGGAAGAAAGAAACAAAGCAGCACATAACGGAAGAAAAAAAGAGAGAGAAAAGGAAAAGAAAGAAATAAAATGTTGTACGTATAAATGATATGAGTTGGAATGACGAGATCCAGTTGTTCTACTGACTATTTTATAAGTTATAGGTATCAAGCCTAATTCTTTCTTTATCGCACAGAACACGAGCCAAGTAGGGTATGGTTGAGTTTTTGTACTTGCTAGTGGGAGCATATAGTTTTCTATATAGGCTTCTGGTACTGTCTGATTATATACAAGGGGAGAGTTGTAAATGAAGAGGTTGGTGTGAGTTAGGTAAAATGGACTTGGCCCATTTTTCACATGAGTCCAAGTGCCTTTCGACCAGAATATTAACAAGCTGGTCAAGTGGCACATTGCTTACCCTGTTGACAATCTTTAACACCCTACGTAATAAGATATAGTCCTTCTTCAGTAACCCTGGAAAAACTGAGGGGGAACAATAGAGAATAATAGGCAGGATGCACGAGTCAATGGATCGTAAGAGTAAGGGTTGGGTTATTTCAAAATGTCTTAACTTTTGTTTATTTTACTTGTCACTACGTATTCAATCTCTGCTATTATTATATAACTTTATCTTGTGGTTCGTCATATTTTGATTTCTGAATAGAAGTACCTTCGGAACTTTCATTCCCTTTTGTTATATATTCACAAGTGTACAGCCTAAATGGTCTACTTGGTCGCGTTGTAACCAGAAGATCCTGAATTCGAACCCAAGTGAGTGTGGACTGCTAGAGTATCAAACTAGACCGAGACAGCTATCTAGTACTCCCTGGTTTTCTGACTGATATCAGTTAGTGATGAAATCTATAGCCAATCAAATCCTTACAAACCAGCACTTGATAACCATCTTTTTGTTCTCCATATTGACCTAACAGACATATTTCATGAATTAATGGTTATGATTTCACTGAAATGATACTGCAACAGCAGAATTGAAATGTAGCTGGTAACGGAATGTTCCTTTGCAATTTGATATACACATATAGGGAGACTATGTGTATTATTATTATTATTATTATTATTATTATTATTATTATTATTATTATTATTATTATTATTTCCTTTAGTTCCTCGAGGAACATAGGGCTCCGGCCGCACATCCCCATTGCGTTCAGTTCTCCGTCAACGTTTTCACCTGACTCCATGTTGAAAATATGGTGAGAAGTTATGTGTATACCTTATATTAAAATCGTTATTTGCTGCACAGATCTTCTGTGATGGGCTACTTCTGCCCTTCGTATTGTGTTTCTTTGTCATCGTCTTCTTCTTGTCCACCGTGTTTTGCCGCAACACTGGTTTATGTCCTCTATTTGACAGTTTTGTGCTTATGAACGTCTCTCTCTACACTACTGATAAGTCTTGTCAGTAGTACTCGCTACAACACTAGTTAGTTTATTGATCATGCCAGAAATATTTTGTGGGTTATTACTTTATTTTGAGATTATAAACGAAAAATGATCAGTGCTAAATTTCTGAAGGTTATCTTTTGTATGAACTTGAATCAAATAGTGACAGTAGAGATCACAGCAACAATCAGTGAACAGTGGAAAGCAGCGCTCATGAAACATCTTGACTATGGCTAAAAATACGGAGTCTTCTTAATCAATCTGCGTATCATTCACTTTAGTTTACTTAAAGTTCTTAAAGTAAGTGCAAGTAGTTGCTCAAAACTATTTAGAAACGTCACAGGAAACTGCACCGATACCATAATTAAATGTATCGACTGAGATGTTTAGAACACGTCCTACCCTGTGCCTAGCCACCGCCACACTTGTCAAGCAGTGTGAATTGATATAGAATTGGGTTGAAAAAAATTAGGGTGGTCAGACTAAAACATGGTACCTAACCATGAATTCAGCTATGTAGACAGATGTAGACTATCTGACGTAGGGTTTCGAAAGGTTAAAAAAATGAATGGCTCAAAATAGTTTTCAAATGCGTTCACTCCTTGTAACCCCTCCCACACCCCCAGATTAAGTAAGTCCTAATTGTTCTTTATGTAATGATTCTGTTTCCCATACATTTCCGTTTATTACGGCTTGGTTACACTTTTTTTTCTGTTCCCTTATATGTTCTTTAATGAAGTGTGATAACACGAACTGCTGCGCGAAAGCGCTGGATATATGTTTCGTCCTAGTTTGCGGCTTTTCAGCAGTGCATACCCAAGACATCAACAGACTAGTTCTATAAATTCCAACTTCTCTTGGTACGTGTTATGGCGCTGCTGTCAATTAATGCCGTCAATGAAGACCCACTTGACTTAGACGTAGTAAACCCTGCTGGGTGACTCTAAACAATAGCAGCCCAAAACGAAACTACCTGATAAAGACCTTGACAAATCTTTACCGACAAATCAGATGCGTCCGAAGCAGAAGTGCGTAATTTCAAATACAAGTACAAGTAATGAATGCAATGTTAAAAAGTAGTTACATCGGATAACATTCTTGTATATGTTCCAGGAAAACCTCCTGACTTCTCATAGGAGTCCTCATAGTCATGTGCATAAATTTGTTGAGATAACTGTGAATCATCGTGTTTCTTGACTCATTCATCGCTCTTATCCTCCCTCATTTTTAGGTGACTCTAGAAAGTTTCGATGGAATTTTTGTGAGTCCTATCGAAAGTATTAACGAAATCGTCCTTGTGTTTGACCACGTTGTGAGCGTAGCCTAGGGATGACAGTTGGCTTTAGGTTTTCTTCCTTCCAGTGAGCCTATTGTCTAAGCAGTGTACTTAAATGCATCATTCGTGTACAACACCCATTATTCCGCTTATATACTACGGAGTCATCTGACTAGTTGTTCAAGGTCATTAATCCGTTCATCGTAAGGTAGTAGTTTCGTTTTGGGCCGCTATAGTTTAGAGTCACACACACACACACAACCCCCTCCCACCCTGCTGACGACGATTTCTTATTAGGACTTCAAGACATAGACTTCAGTAGCCGTTAATAAGCTGGAGATTTAATATTCAGATAATTCTGAAAGTAATTTTGTATGTAGTCAGCAAATAGTTTATGGAGAATTGGAATAGGTTCATAAATTGCAATTTCATGAGTAAATTGGACGTGTTGGACTACATGAATTGTTAATATGTATACTGTCTAATTTGACACGCTTCAATCCATTAAATCAGAATAATAAACACGTAAAACGTTTAAGTAGTATTTATGGTAACGTATAATTCCATATATTAATTTTTGTTTATTAAATACATTACACATTGAAACATAGAATTGTTTATTTGTTGGGTGACACAAAGTTTAGAGCATAATTTTAATGTTCAATAATAACATCAAATGATATGACTATGAATAGTAATAAAACATCATCCAGTAAACAATACTGTATTCATTGTGTAGTATAAATGTGTGGTAAACAAATTAATGTGAAGTTTTTTCAAAATTACGTCAGTGTCTTTATCATCATAAATAAATCTTGTGTCTGACTAAACAATAGAATAGAATTACATTTTCAAGTATTGGTTCACAAAGATCTGATTGATTGGTTGATTGATTGATTGATTGATTTCAAGTTAGATCACGAAATGATACATCAGTGAAAGAACGACTGAAAACCAGAATCTATCAGACGCATGTGTTTCGTCCTAGCTTGAGACTCTTCAGCATCAGGCACACAAACACAGTAAGTCATGAGTTCTCTAGAGTTCTAATGAGAAACTGTAACTAATAGGATCCAGTTTTTGGGGTATGAAGTAAGATGCTCACTGATGACAGTGACTGGTGGAACTGACAAAAGTTATAGCTCATGTTTGTCTTCTTTTTTCTCTCACTATTTTAGCTTCCATTTGACTTTTTGAATGAGAATGAAGAATGTGGATATTTGACCATTTAAAATGATAAATGATCTGCAAACATTATTGGTCCCATATCTTACAATTCACTCGTGAATTACGCATTACCTTCCCCCACGACGCAACCTGGATTACAGCTGTGAAATATAATAATAATAATTTACTTTATTCCAAAAACAGTACTTGTGATACAGAATGGAATTTTCAGCATTAATCACAATATTGCATCTAATTTCCTCAAATTATAAAAAAAATTAATCACACAGAAAATTTTTCTACATCTACAATAGGGGTAATGTCAAAAAAGCATGCAGCATATAAAATGGAAATAATAATAATGATAGCAGCTAAGGTAATGATAATAATACAAGTGGAAATTGCCGTGGGCTTGTTTCACACAGTATTGTCGATGCGGTATACAAATCCTTGCATGATTAAAAATATTGAATATAATGTTCTCTTTACGTGATATGGTGAGGGGAAAAACAAAGATTACAGCAGTCATAGAGATTAGTTGGTGTTTGCAGTTATGAAAGTAAAAACAAAGAAGCAACAGGACCATAAATATAATAGAAATAATAAAAGTAAAACTTGAAGGTATAGAAGGATGGATGGAGGAGACTGTTTATTTACTAGATGAAAAAAGGTTAGTCAATTCTTGCCTGACACTATTTTCATCACATAAAATACGTTCCAAGTTTGGTATCATAGAATTTTTATACTTAGACGTGCGAGCATACACTTTTCTGAAGTTACCTCTTGTTCTACCTGAGGAGATGCAAGGTGAAAGCTGAGGATGAAGTGGATGCTCCAAGTCAGACAAAATCCCTCTAGCAAGTTTATTGCACGAAGTCAAGTGTCTATCGACAACGACGTTAACTATGTAGTCCACTGGGACACCACTCATCCTACTGACAGTCTTCAGCATTCTACGAATTGTGACATAGTCCTTTTTAAGCAAACCAGGAAAGAATAACAGTGAACAATAAAGAAGAATAGGTAGGATGCAAGAGTTTATGAACTGTAAGAGGAGGGGTTGAGTTATACCAATAAAAATGTATTGATTTATAATACTTCACGATTGTAACTTACAAAATAACTGATCGTGTCTGCAAAAATAGCTTGCATTTCTTGTAAACACCCGTTTATAAGAAAATATAAACTATTATTATCATTAGTCTACATTGAGTACAATTCACTGGTGATGTTACGATGAAAATGCTGACAAAAGTATACAAGTGTATCATTTATTTTAAATTATTATCAAATTTGTATATAAATCAAGAATAAAACTCGATGCCGTACACACCAAAGTTATATGGGGGAATTACTTCAAGCTTTATTTTTTTTCCCAAGTATTTGTAATCCATCCAAAACATACTTGGGTTTTTTTTGTTAATGCGAAGACAATATTTCTACATTTCTTGATGTGCTCCATTGAATGACTAGTTATCATATTGTTCCCACAAACCGAAGACAAAAACGACTGCAACCATATAATTTAACCATAAACCAAATTTATGCAATATAAATAATACTTATCCATGCCTGTACAATTAGTGTGTCCTACACAGGTAGGAAAAATATGTATTTTATTAAATTACTATTATTAAATATGCTTACTAATCATATATGTAATTTATCATATTGATGATGCCTGTAAACTGGCGTCCCTCATGTACAAAATGAGAATATATTATTATTATTATTATTATTATTATTATTATTATTATTATTATTATTATGAGCTACTGGATCCCGTCTCGGTGGGTGAATGATAAACGAGATCGCCTTGTAACCTAAAGATCTTGGTTTCAGTTCCTGATGGAATCATGGGTGCGTACTGTTAAGGAGTTAGTTCCAAATTGGGAGGAAACAGCTTCTCAGTACCCTGAGGTTTACAAGGGTTCTCTGACTGAAGTCTATTTATGATCTATCTATCTGGAATTCATTTTCGCAGTTCGTGTAGGCAGTATATGAGTAAAAGTTTTATTTGAAAGGATTCATAGCACATCTCCAGTAAAACGGCCTGATAAGACTTGATTGTAATAACAACTAACTGATTGATTATGAATCAAGAAGATTGTTGTTATTCATCCACATTACTATCATTTATAACTGATCAGTCGAGTTCCTATACCAGACTACTCAGAAAACAGAAAGCAAACGACTTGGTTAGGATTTGTCTCACTTCACTGTGAAGTTAACACTGAAGATGTTGTCCAGGAAAAGAATGAAACCTTCTCATTTACACCATCAGTATGCCTTACATAAAGCGACGAAACCAATAAAAATGTCTATGTTACAAGACCAGGGCTGAAAAAACCATGTCATTACTGGTTAAATAGATCAGCTCATGATGAAATCCTGTAACCAATCAACCAAATCCCTACAGACCAATACTTGAATATCAATGATATGCTCACTGGCGACTGGCCCTATTCAGGTAGGTAGTTACCTGGGGTTCTAGTGGGAAGTCGTGACCAGTAGGGTGCAGCAGGTCCAGTGTGAGGACAAATACTCGCCGAAGACATTGGCTAGCGGTCGCGCTATATCGTGAATTGGCAGAAGTTGGAATTCATGGGCTGGTCATTGGATCGGGTCCCAGTGGCTTAATGGTCTACGAGCTCGCCTTGTAACCAGAAGGTCCTGGGTTCGAACCGTGGGGCTGGGTGCGTACTGATGAAGAGTCCCAAACTAGGACGGAGGAAACAGCTGTCCAGTACTCCTAGGTTTTCCAATGGTTCTCTAACCAATGTCAGCTCATGATGAAATCGTGTAATAAATAATTTGTGCTGCATTTTTGGTGTCTATCTCAACTCTTTTTAACTGTCAGCATTACTCCCTCACTGTTATTCCTTTGTAACAAAGATATACTCTTCAAATCAGTATGCAGCAGTTGGAGTTAGTCACAAGGAAGGCCCTGAATCAGCTTTATTAATTGTTGGTACTCGTCAACAAGGTGTATATGAAACTTCTAAGGTCGAACATTCCCAAACATCTAACACAAAGTCGGAATAGAACTCAGTGCCTTGCCACCTGGTTACCTGACCACTCCGTAAAAACTCGACTGCAAAAAGTCAGTCAGCACAAAATTAGAGGACTAGGGACATGACACTTGTCACTCTCTAATGACAAATCAATGTAAAGATAAAAATGCAAAAAAGTTGACCATTTGCAAACATCATCAGAATAACAGACATCCCACACCTTCAGACTTCATTCATTTTGAAAGCGGGAAGACAACTGAGGGTGTATACATATTCACGCATGGTTTCGATAGATTTTTTCGAAAGAAATCATACACACCGAGTATACGAGGTGTTACAGAATACAATGGAAGTCTCCTCGATGTTTTCATTCACCAGACAGACGGAGGAGTAGTATTCAATGATATAATTTTGCCAACTGAATCTATGCCTATTTATGTCATCCAATGTATAAGTTCATCCCTTGAATGTTGGCAAATTGATTTCTTATTTCAGGACTGATTACAGATTGATGTTAGTTAGAGAACCACTGAAGACTGAGGAGAACCATACAGCTGTTTCGTCTTGCTCTGAAGGTGACTTCTTAGAAGAATGCATCCACGACTCCACTGAGGTTAACAGGCCAAGATCGTTCCATATTCAGCCATATGGACCGGAATCCAATTGTCTATGAATTTCCGACTTTAGGCTGACCACCAGCCAGTGTCATCCACGAGTATTTGTCTTCACACACAACCCGGAGAATCCCAGTAACCACCATTTCTCACTAGAACTCTAGACAACCCCGTCCTGTAGACAGTCAATAACGTCCATCGAATTACTCTCTCAAGAGTTAGATTTTAAAGATTGGATTCGTTTCAGTTTTGGTCACCCACTGATGTCTGTTTGTGTGCGTGGATGTGAAGATTATGATTTCCTATTTTAATTTGCGTTCCGGCTACAACATACGGCGTCAAGCATGAGTTTCGAAGTTTCAATTGTGGTAGTGTCATATCTCTACTTGGTGGGATCGCTTGCCTCATTCATGTACAACATTCCCTCTCTCCTCGACTCACCATCATCTAGTAAACTAGGCCACGGTTAGAAGGAATCAAACAAGAAAGAGGTGCGTAAATGGCAAGCATTCATTCCACCACTGAACTACTGGAACATAAAATCAGAAAGGATTGGGTCCTAGTTTGTTGAGTCTCAGTTTGGCACTGTTCAGTGGTGGTACTCAGCCTATCAAAGATAGAACCGTCAATTAGATTTATCCCTTCCAAATTATACACTTCATCCTCATCTATCCAACTAACAACCATCAACGTTCTCCTTTCAAATGAATCGATGGTTTCCAAACTACCTGAAGTAGTCAGCAGTACAAACACGACCTCATGATATACTGCATCACCTAACATCACTTCCACATGATGATGATAATCATTCATGCACGCATTTGTATGTGTGTGGATGGGTGGGTGTATGTGTGTTTAACGTATCCTTGAAATTCTTTACTGTTGTTCTAATGAACACCTCATCTTACCCACGCACATTTTGAGCAATTATTATTATCATTCCTGTATAATGAATGAATGAATGAAGTGGCATAACTAACTAACTAACTAACTAACTAATTAACTCTCTTCTGTTAACCACATCTACATAGTACAACTATCAAAGTACAAAACCAAAAGTATGTCAGCACATTCCTTTCATGCTAATAAGTTTTCACACAACAGAACAGTAAGTATTGCATAGCTTTATCAGTGATTATTACTGTTAGTGTAACTGATTGTGTTTTATTTGACTTGTATTAATTAGTATGCCATTCTGGTACCAAAATAGAAAACTGGATATATAATAAATAGATTAGATTGAATTAGTGATATGAAACTGCTAATTTGCTTTCGGATGTTTAAGGTGTCTTATATTTTATTCTAGTTAGTGAGCATCTGATTAGGTTCTGATGCTGTTTTGGTTTGAGCTTTGAATTGTCATTAGGGATGATGTTTTTGCGGGGTAGAGTTGCTAACCTAACCTCTCCCTTTTTTCAGATTTACTACCGGCCAGGTGAGGTTTAGGAGTGTATCTGTTGGCTGGGAATCGAACCCAGACTAGATATATGGTTGGCAATATTTCTACCATTCTTAAAGAAGTAATCAACTAGTCACCTAAACAACCAACCCATCAAACAAACAAACGGAACGCTCATAGTGACTACGGAAAAGATTAACGATTATGTTTGTGAACTGACAAACAAAAGGATACACATGCTAGTTTGCCGGGAGACTAAGACATGACGAAAGCAGGCAGTGCTATTGTCTATAAGTATATAAATGCATAGATACGTAATTATACTATCGTAAACATAGGCCAAAATACAAACATACAACTGGATAGTATCATCAGCTCTCGTATACTAAATGTGGCTCATCGCATCGTCAAATACTTCTTCCTGTCGATAGCCAGTCACCTCCTATCATTAGATCAAAGTGAATCGTGATGAAGAGTCTTCTAGCTTGGTAAATCACATCACAAACTTGATTGACAGAATTCATTCAGGAATAAGGTTTTCACAACATAACACACACATTGTTTACTCACACCCTAGTAACCAAACGATTTAATTATAGACAGTTTAGTTAATAATTGAGTATATTTCGAAATGTAAGCAGACATTGAATAACAGTAATTGGCACAGTCGTAAATATATAGTTTGATCGATTAGATAATTATTTCTTTGTTTCAACTGTTATGCCATTTGTAGATAACAAATTTCAATTCATATATGTTTATATATTTGAAAACACAACACAGTGAATTGCCATAGTAACAGACTAAGAATTCAAAGTGTTACATATATATATATATATTAGTAATGGTAATAATAATAATGGCAATAATAAAAATGGTTTTATCAATAATAAGAATGAAACCATTTTTAATATATATATATATATATATATATATATATATATATATATATATATATAGTACCGCTGCAGCATCTCCCTAGAATATACCACATAAAAGGATCAAACAATTTACGGACATGATTACAAGGGCAAGCTTGACCTTCATCAGTCTGAAATCAGTTTAGAAATCTATTGCACGCAGCACATA